TTAGTATGCGCATGTCATCAAAAATATGCTATAATTTATGCAAATTTATGCAAATTAACCTATACATTTTCAAATATCATAAAAATAATGTAACCTCGTGAATTTGAGATGAAGGAAACATTTATTCAATACATTTTAAACATTCTTCACAAGTCTACAGACAAATATGTAGAGTTTTCTGTAAAATGCATAAAGATAGCATTTTGCATATTTAATAAGGCTATAACGACAAAAATTTGCATATTAGGAAAAAACTAATTATACCATCTTGTCCCTTACATAAATATCAGCAAACATTCAAATTTTCGCGTTCATCGGACTTTCGACGGCCGATATTATATGGGGGGGGGGCCTCCCAGGCCCCCCTCCCCCCCCAGTCAGGAGGTGCTGAAAATAGCCCAGTACAGTAAGGGTTAATAACTCAGGAGTACACTTGCAACAACTTGAGCGATTCCGCAGTCCTCAAGACTAGCTTGAATCCTCAAGGGTCGGCTTCCTCCCATCTGGTGGGAGTCGTAGAAGACTTTCCGACCGGCCCACTAGGGTACTGTCCGTCAGTCTCGAGTGTTTACTCGAGTAATCCCACAGCACCCCGTGCCGCCTTGACCACTCAATGGTAGTACACTCTTTCTAGCTCTCTTGCTCCCGTCACAGTCGGGTGCTTATGAGACGAGCAAAATATATTTATATCCGTCGCCTGCTCAGCAGTGCTGATATATCTGTATCAGTCAAATATACGCTCTTGCTAGCTCTTTTGTTCCCGACCGCGTGTAGGCATGGAGTATAGCCATGTCCAGGCCATGTCTCGGTCATGTCTCTTTCTGAGTCGATGTCTGCCTTGGGCACACATTAGGCTACGGCTTGTAGGAGGGGTTCGGCCTCTTTTACACGCCTACCCTTCTCCGTTGCCATCGATCAGGCTGAGCCTCTCAATTATTTGGAGCTCTTCGCTGAGAGAAGTGAGCGTGGTAGTAACCTCAACCTCTGGTGGTACAGGCCTTCCTTTTTCATGGTCGGCTCTGTCTGGCCTTTGGACACGGGCGTCCAGGGCCTAGGTCAGGTTTTACCTTGTCCGGGTTCGGTCTCGTCCGGACATGGTGGATTGATCTGGTACCAGTTGCCTGGATAGTGTTCAATATTTTAGATGGCCCCTTCTGGTACCCAGTTTTGCTTACATGTTCCTGATTCTCAGGATCCTGTTCTCGTACTGGTTTGGTTCCTGGAGCTTCCCCTCCTATCTCAGTCGTCGCCCGGCGAGGAGATTATTGATTGTGGTTGCGCCTGCCCCCTCCGGGCCAGGTTCTCCACGTCGTTGAGTTTGAGGGTCAGGTGGGTGACTCTCAGTCACTAGTCAGCACGGCTCCCAAGCCCCTCATCGTTTGGCAGCCGACGTACAGACTCTTTGAGTCTTCATTACCGGATGCCTTCACTCTGGCTCTGCCAGGTACGGCCCAGGCTTCCCTTCTCCTTCCGCGGGAATACAACTCATGGGGGTTTGCCAGTCCGGTGACGGGTATCTTGTGTGTAAGGAGGGTATCCCTTCATTGGTGATCTCCTCCCGTTCTAGTTTTATCGAGCGCCGCCCTAGGGTGGGTCAGTTATGTAGAAGTAATCGCACTTAGCTCCACCTTTGAATCAAGCTTTGCGTCTTAGGGCTTTGTTGCGATGCAACGGCTCGTTAATTTTGTTGTTGGGAGTGGCCCCGGTTTCACCCACGTCATGGTTTAATCCAGTCGTGAAACGCAAAGATCCCCGTCTCAAGGCGGCTCCTGTGTCTTGATTGATGAGCTTCTGGCGCAGTGGAGCGGGTCGGTCCCGGTCACACTGAGTTTATTTCGGGGTTTACGAAGTCTAGTATGGCCGCTATACTCGCTTCTTCTCCCGTACCTGCGGGTAAGAAGCGCAAGCGTTCTGACATCCAGCTGCTGACTGGGTCTAGGTAGAGAAGGCTAGGTTAAGTGTTACGTCAGTCAGTGTTGTCTACCAGCTCAGGCTGGGCTTCGTGGCTTCTTGATGATTTTGGTGTCTGGGAATACCAGCCACCACAAGACCCGAAAGGCATTTTGGGTTTGGGCGGAGGCTCAGCTTCTGCCCCTTCCCGTGCCTCAGCTGGTAATGAGCCGGCCCTGGTCACACCTGGCTTCGGGTTCGTTCAGATTTCGCGGGTGTTGTTACTCCGGCATCCGAGACACTTTTTGGTTCGGGTTGCCTGGAGCTGTTGGCTTTCCACCATGGGCCGTCGTCCGATTGTTAGGAGTGGGCCTGTAGTTCCTGCCCTCGCGGTTGTCTGCGGCATCTGCAGCAGGGTTTTCAGTTGAGTTTGTCACTCGACAGAAGGTTGTCGACCACACGTAAGCCTTTCGCACCATGCTCTTGCAGCCTCTGATGCGATGAGGCGTGGTCTAGTGGTGACCATATTGAGCCTATTTAGCTGAACCTTCCAGCTTTAGCAAGGCCCTGGAGCAAGCTTCGTTCCCCGACGCTTTGGCGAGGGGTACGAAGTTATATTAGGTTTTTCATGATGTTTATTGTGGCCTTCTAATGTCAAGTCTCTGACTGTGATTTAGACGGAGAGAGCTGTGGTAATTTTTGGACCTCAGCCTGCCTGTTCTCCAGCCGTTCACACTGGGCTTCGCGCGGTGTCGAAGTATCTTGGTGGGCGACGGGTTTACCCTGGTCTCATCAGGCTGGTCTGAAGCTCAGTTTCGCTTGTCTGATGTAAGCCTGTACCCATTTTGGTTTGGGGATCATCTTGCCGAGTTCGGCCTCGGAGAGGCTCTTTATGATGGTTGGCATTTCTCCCCGGGCTTTTTGCCCGTTGGTGATGGTTAAAGATAAGACATGTTCCCTGAAAAGCATGGCTCTTCAAATGCCTTCATATTCTAAATATGTCCTGTAATATCGTAAAACTCCACGTGTTCGTGTAGTCCCATATACATCTTTCTGTGTACAGTGTTTGTAACTTTACCAAGACTTGGCCAAATTTCTTATCATTTTGATGATTCCAGAACGTTGCAATCCACACTAATTCTTATATGCTAGTTGATCAACCTTTTCTGGTCGATTCCACAACGTTTCTTTCACAATTCAATCGCATGACCAGAACTCAACTTCGTCTCTGAGCTCTCTTCTCCAGCTTCTTTTGCTACACCTCCAAGAGAGGAGTGGGTAGCTGGATCGGGACTCACCCTTCCCCTCTGGGGTTTGGGTTTTTCCTAAATGACGGCTATGGCTGTGACTCTTCTCACAGATGGCTTTACCAGGTCTCATTGAAGCCTGGTCGTTCGGCTGACCAGCCCTTGAGGGCTGTTGTGTCGCCTTTTTCGGGGGATTTATCTCTTGGACACAGTTCCCCAGCTCATTTGGAGGGTAATCAGTGTCCGTCGCTGATGTTCGGGGCAACGGGCTCCCCGGCTAGTTTTCGTTTCTGGCTAGTTTCAGTTCAGTGTTTCTGGTTTCTGTTCCCTCTCCCGCTGAGACCGGACCTGTTGTCCCAGTCTCTATCAGGGGTTTTCCGTCATCGCCCCGCGGTGCATACTCTCTCTGGCAGCTGGGCCGGTGGCGGGGAGTACGCTATGACTTCTGGACTCTGTGAGAGAGCCTCGCAGTTTATAATCTAGAATTGTAGGGATTTCACGAGGACCCTTTACAACTCTCGTTTGGAGCACGGCTTCATTTGGTGTGAAGTCCTCGGGGTCTCACCCGTAGACTTTGATAGGTGTCATAGCTGGATGTTGATTTACTTGTTTGACAAGGGTAAAGTCCTTCCTCTTTTTGTGGCTACCGTTCGGCCCTCGCCACCTCTCATGGTTGGTTTCCGGACGGCTCAGGTTTTTTTTTCTTCTCCCGTTTCTTGTTGGAAGTTTTACTGCGTTCTTTTCTGTAGTGGCCGGCTATCCTGAGGCTGGCTCCTGCTTGGAGGTTTCCGAAGGTTTTGGACGTTTTGGCAAAGCCTCTTTTTGAGCCTTTGTCTAAGGCCTCACTTGACGCTGAAAACGTTTTTCCTTATAGCAATAGCTTCCCCCGGCCATATCAGGTGGGAGAGGTGGGGAATTCGGTTGGTCCCACGACCTTCCTCCGGACCGATGGTGGTTTTCCTCAGTCCTCTTTCGGAATTCTTGGTCGCTCAGGACAAGGTCTGGTGCCCCATCAGGGCACTCAGGTTGTTCTTAGATAGGACTAAGGTTCATCGAAAGGAGGTCCAGTTGTTCCTCATTTCGCGGGAGCTCCTTTCTTCTGCGTCTCGAGAATCCATCTCCAGATGGATAGTGGACGCTATTCAGGCGGCGGGTTCTGAGGCCCTGTTCGCAGAGGGCAGGGCCAGTGCCCATAATTCCAGATGTAGTCGTACTTCCTGGGCGTTGTTCCAGGGAGTGGGTTTGGATGACATTTTGAAGGTCGCGTTTTGGCGGTCTCCCAATTCCCTTACGTCTTTTTATCTTCGGGGATGTCACCTCTGGGGAGGTGTTGTGGTGTTGTTTGCAACTACGTCCCTCCGGGCAATTTTGGCTGCCTTTGTTCCCCAGTAATCTCCTACTTGTTCGGGACATGCCTCCCGGTTCATATGTGTGCTGGTCTAGCAAATAATAGGTAGGTTCATTGATTTAATGTCGTAAATCAGAAAAATCAGAACTGATTTTATTATTTACTATATAAATCTATGTATCTACCTGTGTCCCTCCCTCCGTCCCCTCTCCTTGCGGGCAACATGTCCGAAGCTATGTCTTTGGAGGCTCGTGAAAGAGGATGAATGGCAGACGTGCGATGCGCACGTGAAGGCGATGTATGAGGGTGGGGGCATGTGCGAGTGTGACGTTTTTAAAGAGTTTTCGAAGGTAGCGTAATTTAGATAAACTAGCAAATAATAGGTACATAGATTTATATAGTAAATAATAAAAACAGTTTTGATTTTTCTGATTTGTTGTTTCATATATGTTGTTTAATATTGGATGGCTGAGCATGTAGTATTTATATCATGTGATCCATCCATGCACCCACAGACCCAAGGGAACCTTGGACTATTGACGTGGAAGGGGTGACCTCGACATCCATCTTAGTCACGTGGACCGAGATTGCAGGAATCACAGACTACATTGCCAACCTCAACCTGGCAAGCAACAACACTGAGCTGTTCTCAGGAGTCATCAGAAGTTCCCTCAAGGCTAGCTTCTCAGGACTGATGCCGGGAGAGGAGTACATCATCAAGATTGAGTTGCAGTGCGACGGAGAAGTTCTTTCTCTTCGACAGTTTACATGTAAGTCAGTTATTAAAGCTCATGTACAATGGGCATGTTTGGTATCAAAAAAGAAATTTAATTCTCCTTGTATCAAAGCATACATGTATACCGTATTTGGCCGCAGTATTTTTGGAAGAGAAAATATCAAAAAGTTGGGGTGCAGCCTTTGCGGCGAAAGAGCAAAAAAAAAAAGTTGGCAAGTCAAAAACACGAATCTGTACATATGGGACAACAATGAAAGGTGATGGACATTTCTAGAATAACTGTCTAGAATAACACATGTCTTACCCACAATTGTGTGTTATTTTTTTTTTAAATGAAGGGCAAATCTCGTAAATAAAATTCATAACTTACCAACCAAACTCTACTGGTAGATCTAGATTAAGTTTTTGCCGTAAAGCAACGTCAATCCTCAGATCTCGCGATCAAAGCTATGTTGAAATGCAATATACAAGAAAAAACAGCATGCGGAAGCAATAGAGTCGCGATAGCCGAGCGGTCTAAGGCGCTGGTTTCGGGTCCCAATCTACACATGTCCGCAAGAGATCGAATCTCGCCTTCAATTTTTTTTTTAAAAACGGGGGTGCGGCCTATATGGCGCTGCGGCCTTATCGCCGGCAAATACGGTATACAAAATGATTTGGTATTCTATCCATGATTTCAGGTGAATTGTAGTGTAAATACCTACAAGAAATGGATAGATAATGGCTATTCACACCCTTACGATAGGACTCTCTCCCCCTAAGGTTCCTGGCACATTAATCCAAGCATTTGGCTCATAGAGAGTGTGTGACAGTGTGTGTGTTGACTGTAGCAAATACACTCAGTCCTCATAGGCTTTACATGCGAGTATAGTGCAGGCTACTGTTGTGAGAATTTACATCCCAGGATGGTAAGCAAATATTAATCGACTACGAGGGTAATGGTACAAACTATCATCGCTGAGGTGATCTCGGGGGGCTTCTATCATCCAGAGGTGATCTCGGAGGGCTACTATCATTCCGAGCCGCAAGGCGAGGGATGATGGTAGCCCCGAAATCACCGAGGCGATGATAGTTTATATCCATTGCCTGAGTAAAGGAGGTTAATATTTGTTTTATATCCCTCATCGGCAATATGGTCTATTTAAAGTGAATTTTACATAATTAAAAGAACTGATTCTGCAGACAGTTTAGCTTCAGCTAGAAATTACAAAACGCAACATACATACAATGTAACAAAGTTGATGCGCGCTCATTTGACATTGACATTTCGCGTAGCCTACTTTGCTACGCGTATTCAATGGCAAGTGGGGCAGCAGCAAAAAGTTTCCTTACAAAAGTCCTATCGCAGGTAGATAGTACTTATCTATCTTTTATCATGTGACCTCGTTTAGACCATTCAGATTGCAAGATTCTTAGTATGCGGGATATAATATTTCTTTTTTTTTCTATATTTTTATTTCACTCGAGGAAAAATTCACAGTATTGCTAGTATCTTGCTATTTAATCATCTAAAAATCAAAGAAATTTGACGAAAGGTTTTTGAGGGCTTACCAAAACTGTACACAGCCTTTAACCCTTTGATACCAGTTCGATGCGCGTGGGGCGTTGTTCCACGTCTGCCAATTACGCCACACACACACATATAAATGTGTTTGGCAGGGTATTATCACATGAATGACATTTGCAGGAGGATTCCTTATAGTTTGCTATTCTATTTAAAGCAATATACATTAACATGTGTATCTTTGATACTTTGTACATGACATGTACATGTTCATCTGTAAGAGGAAAGTGATATTTATCATGCCTACTACCAAAAATAGTCGGTTCTTGTATACCATTCATGCCGGTCAGACTTGACATTCTTGGTGCTCCAATTACCTTCCATGTCTAGAGAGGTACTTTGGTGGTGGTGGTTATTATACCTGACTGCTAAGAAAGCATAAATGCTTGTAAGTAAGCAACCAGAGGGCCGACGGCTTTAGGTCCTCTCCGAGGAACCTGATAATGAGGATTAATGCCTTACCAAAGGGCACTAGCGCATCGCCTTGGTTTCGAACCCGGGTCACCAGATTACGAGACCACTGCTCTACCGACTGAGCTTTCGCTGAGCTATCGGTGTTGTGGTCTAGTGGATAAGTCTATCTGGCCGGACTGTGAACCACTAGTTCCGAGGTTCGAACCCCTGCCGCAGTACCATCATCCTTTTGCAAGATATTAATCTACATTTGCCACGCTAAAGCCAGCTAATGATATCAAAGTCCTTTCGAAGGACATAGAGACATAATGTGACACAAAAAACTATAATTGTTGATATTATTATCATTATTATTTTTATCATTTGTATTATTGTTATCATTATTACTATTTTTATTATTATTATCTCTTTTACAGTACCTCTTGAGCCGGTGTGTGCCGTCTTTACTTGGGTCACCGAAGACTCTGTCACCCTGCAGTGGTCTCGACCTGAAAGCAAGCTCTTCGGTTACGAGATCATGTACGACGACGGCAGTGGTCCGTACAGTCCTATCAATGTGTTCGACAGTAACTCTGTGCAGTTGGAGAGAACGATCACGGGTTTGATGGACGGACCAGGTGTTGAGGTAAACATCACCACGCTCGCTGGTGCAGGAATGGCCCAAACCAGAAGCAACCCCGTCAAGATTAGTCCAAGTGAGTAACTACAATGTTAACTTTAAACCTAACCACAATACATCTCTTCTCTTATCAACCTTTACTAGCCAAACCTTAACAAGGGGAGTGATTATCTGTTCAGGTCCCTGTGAAGGGTAAATGAAGGGTAATCTCAATGGTGAATGGTAATTGAAGGGTATTTCAGTGGTAGAGTTTAATACAAAGGGTATCTTAATGGTATTTGAATGATACCATGTGAGTGGTGAAGGGTAAACAAAAATGAAGGGTAAATTGAAGGGTATTTCAGTGGTAGAGTATAATTCAAAGAGTATCTTAATGGTATTTGAATGATACCATTTGAGTGGTGAAGGGTAAAAAAAAAAGTAGGGTAATTTGAAGGGTATTTCAGTGGTAGAGTATAATTCAAAGGGTATCTTAATGGTTTTTGAATGATATCATTTGAGTGGTGAAGGGTTAAATAAAATGAAGGGTAAATTGAAGGGTATTTCAGTGGTAGAGTATAATTCAAAGGGTATCTTAATGGTATGTGAATGATACCATTTGAGTGGTGAAGGGTAAACAAAAGATGAAGGGTAAAGGAAGGGTAGTCTGAATGGTGAATGGTATTACTCAAAGGGTATCTGAATGGTATTTCAATTATACCATTTGAGTGGTGAATGTACAAAAAAATGTAAGGATAAACAAAGGGTAGTCTGAATGGTGAATGGTATATGAATTATACCATTTGAGTGGTGAAGGGTACAACAAAGTGAATGGTAAATGAAGGGTGATCTGAATTGTGAATGTTATTTGTAGTGTAAATGGTGAAAGGTATTTGAAGTGTATTTCAGTGGTAGATTATAACCTTAATGCTATATCTTAATGGTTTTTGAATTATAACATTCAAGTGGTGAAGGGTACACAAAAATGAAGGGTAAATGAAGGGTAATCTGAATGGTGAATGGTTTATAAGGAAACGTTTCGCAAATGTTTTGGACGACGTGTGGCACAAAGTATTAACCACATTTAAAGCGATTTTTGCACAAGTTCCTATATATACTTTCTATCCGTCCTACTAAAGTCTGCGTCGACAAGAAATTATTGTGAGCCGAGTGGTATGCTGAAGGGTAGACCAATGGAGAACGTGTGGTATACTGAAGGGTAAACCAGTGGAGAACGAGTGGATACTGAAGGGTAATAAGTGGCATGTTGAAGGGTGAACCAGTGGTGTGAAGGGTGAGCTGAATGGTATGTTGAAGGGTATTGCAATGCTGAGCCGAGTGGTAAATTAAAGCATTACGAAAATTCCTCGCTAGAGAGATTCCTACTTCCTAATTCCTACTAACGTCCTTTACTCGGAAATTGTCACATAGAGTTTGCAAACGAGCCCGGAGAAGGACCTGCCGTTCTTATCACTTTCCTAATCCACTGCCAACGACGCACTAATAAGACCCGTCTACAGAGTCTGGCTGAAGAGAAAATGTGAAGAAAAAAAATCCCAAAGTTACAAAAATCTGTGTTTTTTTTCTCCCAAAATTTGTTTTTATGGATTCATTTACCCCAAAAAAACTTCAAAGCATAAAAACCGGAGATATGATATTTAAACTCACGAAAAGATTTCAGATTTGACTCGCTTCAGGAAACTTTTTCCCCCTTCTTCTCGCGGAGAGAGCTGTCAATCACGTTTCGACCGGCTGTTAAGCAGCTGCATCGGATTAAGCCGTCTTAGCACGACTGACCAGCTTGTATGACTGCGCATATTAGTGCATATGTCCTTTTGATTTAATGTTTTATTTTGAATTTGATTTTATTACCAGAAATTCGAAAATGAACTGCTACCTCAAATGCAATTTTGAACGGGAAAAAATGAACCAGCAAAAGCGGAGATAAATATGAGATCGTACGCTCTGCCGACGCTCAGATTGTCACATAGACATCCGGGTCTTTTCCGAGTTTCGTTCAATTCTCTAGCGAGGCATTTTCCCTCGCTCGTTAGAAAACTGTATGCGTAGGTGCACTGCGTGCGCTGGCGTCAGAATCAAACTCGGAGAAGGTTGTGCGACAATTTCTGAGCTTGTCTGAGCGATTATGTTATTGTTGTTGAATGAGAGTAGTCTAGTTACTAGACCTTCGCTGTGTTCTCCTCATTGCTTTTTTTTAATAAACTGACCTAAGCAGTAAGCGTAGAGTACTTTTCTCTTTCTGTCTTAAATTCATTATGTTATGTTATGTTTCTACCTTTTATCACCTTCTCGTATGTTATTGTTTGTTTTTATTATTCCCTTATTTTCTTTTTCCTATCTTTCCTTACGCTATTCTTTGTTTCTTCCTTCTACCACCTCCTTTTTTCTGACTTTCCTTATGTTAATCTTTGTTTTTCCATCTTTCATCTTTTGTTCTATCTTTCCATTATGTATTCTTAATCATTTTGTCTTTTTGTTTTAATTACTTAATGTTATTCTTTGTTCTATCATCTCTTATGTTATTGTTTGTTGTTATCATTCTATTATTTCCTCTTCCTCTCTTTCCTTACGCTATCCTGTGTTTCTTCCTTTTACCACCTTCTCTTATGTTATTCTTTGTCTTTATCATTCTCTCATTTTCTCTTTCTGTCTTTCCTTAAGTAATTACTAATTGTTTCTTCCTTCAATCACCTTCTCTTATGTTATTTTTTGGTCCGAAGCGCGGAAGCTTTGAAGTTTTATTACATTATTAGAGGAAGAAGACGAATCGTTGTACTGTCTCGACTCTTAATCCTTGTCTTAAATAAGACCCCCCCCCCCTCCCCCGCGCTTTTTGACGTTTCATTAAATCATTAGACAAAGAAGGTGATTTGTTGTACCGTTCTCGACTCTAAATGAATTGTCTTAAATATGACCCCCCCCCCCCCCCTCCCGCGCTTTTAACGCTTCATTTAATTATTCGAGAAAGAAGACGATTTGTTGTACCGTTCTCGACTCTGAATTCTTGTCTGAATTCAGCCCTACCCCCTCCACTCACGCGCAGAGCGTGAAAGCTTAACGTTTCATTAAATCATGAGAGAAAGAAGACGATTCGTTGTACCGTTCTCGACAATAAATCCTTGTCTTAAATAAGACCTCCCGCGCTTTGCGTGGAAGCTTTGATGTTTTATCAATTATTAGAGAAAGAAGACGATTCGTTGTACCGTTCTCGAATATGAATTCTTGTCTAAATTCAGCCCTACCCCCTCCATTCACGTGCAGAGCGCGAAAGCTTTAATGTTCATTAAATCAGGAGAGAAAGAAGACGAATTGTTGTACCGTTCTCGACAATAAATCCTTGTCTTAAATAAGACCCCCCCCCCTCCCGTGCCTTGCGTGGAAGCTTCAACGATTAATATAATTATTCGAGAAAGAAGATAATTCGTCGTACCGTTCTCGACTCTAAATCCTTGTCTCAATTATTACCCCCCCCCCCCTCCCGCGCTTTATAGCGCTTCATTTAATTATTTGAGAAAGAAGACGATTCGTTGTACCGTTCTCGACTCTCAATTCTTGTCTTAATTCAGGTACCCACCCCCCCCCTCCCGCGCAAAGCGTGGAAGTGATGTCGCTTCATTAAATTATTAGAGAAAGAAGACGATTCGTTGTACCGTTCTAGAATCTTAATTCTTGTTTTAATTACACCCCCTCCCACTCTCGCACAAAGCGTGGAAATTGAATTGTTTTCGCTTCTCTCTCTTCATAATTCTCAAGCGCTGGTAATATTGGAATTCATTTTTTCATTCATTTCTTTCTTTCCGTTTACTTACTTTTGTCATAAAAGCCAGTAACGTCAGGGAAATGTAATTGTTTTCGCTTCTCTTGATCTCCCGCGATCTGTCTCTCTTTAAAATTCTCAAGCGCTGATGATATTGGCATTCATTTTCTTTGATTTCCGTTGGCTTACTTTTTGTAATAAAGCCGGTAACATGCATCAGCGATATTTTAATTGTTTTCGCTTCGCTCTCTCCCGCGATCTGGCTCTCTTTATATTGCTCAAGCGCTTAATTGTTATATTGATATTCATTTTCTTCATTCATTTCTTTCTTTTCGTTGCTTACTTTTTGTCATGATAGACGAAGTAACATCAGCCAAATTGAATTGTTTTCGCTTCTCTCGATTTCCCGCAACCTGTCTCTCTTCATAATTCTCAAGCGATGGTGATATTGGAATTCATTTTCTTCATTCATTTCTTTCTTTCCGTTGGCTGACTTTTTGTCATGAAGCCGGTAACATCAGCGACATTGAATTGTTTTCGCTTCTCTCTCTCCCGCGATCTGCATTCATTTCTTCATTCATTTATATCTATCTGTGGGCTTACTATGTGTCATATAAAATCTGATAACATCAGCTAAATTAAATTGTTTTCGCTTCTCGATCTCCTGCGATATGTCTCTCTTTATATTTCTCAAGCGCTGGTGATATTGGCATTCATTTCCTTCGCTTCATTTCTTTCTTTCTGTTGGCTTACTTTTTTCATAATAGACGGTAACATCAGGGAAATTGAATTGTTTTTGCTTGTCTCTCTCCAGCGATGTGTCTCTCTAATAATTCTCAAGCGCTGGTGATATTGGAATTCATTTTTTTCATTTTTCAACGATTTCCGGTTTTCCGTATACCGCTCATGCAGCGTGCTAGTACAACTAGTAAACACGGAAAACCGGAAATCGTTGTGCATGATGGGATCGGGATATTTACTTCGTACTTCGGTCTAATGAAGACGGTCGCAAACTATCCTGCTAGTTCGGAAATAGTGGGATATTTTGCAAACTAGACCGACATATCTTGGGATATTATCCCGACCAACTATCCAGCTAATTTGCTACTTCGGTCTAATGAAGACGCAAATTAGCTGGATAGTTTCGATCGGGATAGTTCAAATAGCTGGATATTTGGCAATCTCGAGATAGTGAAGACACGCCTGACAATTCACTGACTTTCTCTAATGGAGAGTTTTCATCATGAGAGTATTTTATCACTTATTTAACCATTCAAAGGGTATTTTACCACTGAAATACCCTTCAAAGGGTATTTTAC